GCAAACTTTCCTCTCGGAATTATTTTTGAACAACCACAACTACAACCTATCTCCAAGAAACGCATTGCTTTTTCATACTCGGTTGAACCACAATATTCACTATTTTTCATATACAGGTAATCCTATATATAATTTTTATCACTGACCTAAGTCATTCGCGCATTGGTAATTATCAAATACTTTTGTTTCCCTAAGCTTGTATTTTTTTGATGGTTGGTTACATGCCCTTTTATCGAATAAATGTTTCAGTTTAATGTTAACATTACTGCTGCTAACATTTTTAAGTATAATTAAAAAAGAGCAATGGATTGACGGTTGGTGACGCATACGTTGTTTATTCGCATGGACAAGTATGCACGCATAGAGGAGAATAAATCATTAACTTTGCTAGCTAGACTGTCTTTATACTCTGTGTCAATTGAAGGCAATCGTGACATCGTTCTTTAGTCAGCAATCAACGACTCACGAATATGAATGAAAATATTGCAATCGAATCAGTAGAGTTTCTTTTTATTGAAAATAACATTCCAGTATGACAAATACTGGGATTTGCAACATTCTTCCCCATTAAGCTTCTTCTAACATACTGGTCAATATTATGATAAGTACTTTATTACATTATAGTCAAGAAATCCCACACATTTATCCCACACTTTTAACGTCGTACAGTATATTCCTATATATAGTATTTAACACAATGCTGACCGGAATTAATGTTGGTTTTTACAATGAAGATCACCCCTTATATAGGAATTATAATGTGCGACGTTAAAAGTGTGGGATAAATGTGTGGGATTTCTTGACTATAATCTTTATTACTCCGTCTCGTATACCAATGGTACCATGCGTTTAATTATCTTTATTTTTTCTGGATGTTCGCCCATTGTGGGATCAACCCAAGCAGTCAACAGTTGCTTAAAGTTACCTGTGAGATCCTTAGTGGTGGTCGAAGATGAGGTTGCAGAGACCGGCATAAACTGTTCTAAACAACCATACATGTTTGAAGATAATCCAAATAATGCAAGTGGTACCTGAAAACTTTCTCGGAACGCCGTGATTTCAGCATCTGAGACGTCCTTACTGCCATCAATTCTAATCTTCTTGATAAATTCATCTCGTGTTGTATCATCATCTACTTGGTAATCTTCCAGCACTTCTTCGATTTTACGTTTGCACAAGTTAATTTGACGTGTTTGGCGTGCCTTAACCTTAGCAAGCTGAACGTCAACAAATTCTGTTGTTGCACCTAACTGCAAGTACAATGACAAAAATGGCATATGTGGAAGTTTCTCAACACCTATGTATGCTGGTGACAGCAAAGCTGTTGCAGAGAGTAAATAGTTATCGCCATTATTATCCATAGTCCAATTTTTAACTTGTATTAAGATGTATGAAATATGATCTTCGTTAAGCTTTTCATGAATAGTGCCTATATATATAGGTATGATGATATCTACTCCACGTTGGTTTCGTTTACATGAAAATACAACACCGCGAATCAGAGCATCCCCGAAAATTTTCCTGCTTGGTGTGTACGTAATATTAATAAAGTGTGTAAACCTAATGTATTGTCGGACTAGCTTACACCTGGGAGAGCGGCGGTGTACTAGCCGTTTTGGGATTTAGTTCGTTTCCAACGGAAGC